ATTGCTAGCTATGGAGACATCATGAAATAGAGGTCTGGTTTATAGTGCTAGAGGTGAAAATTGTATTCTGTTACCTGTCTGAGGTTAATACATGTAATGATATTATTCAGAAGATAAATCCCTTTTTATTTCATAAGCCATTTCTATATGTTGATATCTACATGCATATATAGCTGTGACAGTGACAGAGTGTGGGATAAATCACAGGAGTACTAGAGTAGTTGCAGCAAAAGTAAAAACAAAAAAGATTTAAAAGAGAAGTAAAGACAAATCTCTTTTTGGTCACAGGAGTACGTTTACTAATGTACTCCTGTGACCCAAAGTCAGCATATGGTGTGCTAATGCCAGCTATCAGCTGACAGCACAGAGCCGTGCCACAGCCAGGTAGGATCCCAACAATCCCCACCGGCTCTAGGCAGTGGGGAGAGTATGTTTAAATCTCCGCTCACCTTTCCTTTAAACCATGGAAAATAAATCCTGGCAGTATTATAGCTTGTCCCAATCCTTGTCACTTCACTGTACAGTTTTATCTACATGAAAATGTGGAGAAAGTATAAATAAAGACACATGAAATAAAAATAGAAAAACAAATGTATATGCTGAATATTACCTTTACAGGCATTAGACACATGGGGCTTCATTCACAAAACTTCACTGATCCATAAAATACCCAAAACGTATTGTATTCCAACAACTGTATGGGCTTCATTCATAGCCGGCCAAATGTTGTTTGCACAGCACTAGCATTCCTAGATGGCGCTGACAGGTATAGAAATTTCCTATGCTCATCTGCGACACCAAGGGGTAGATCTTCAGCATCCAATATTTCTGGGTGTGTTTTTTTCACACCAGCCGCACACCAAAACAATACGTTTTATGTGTGGGCTAGTGTCCCCTTTGTGCTGGTGGCGGGGCACAGTGGGTTGCATTGCTACAACACAAGACACTGTTTACCTTTTCTTTCTTTTTACTTTAATGAAATCTCAAAGGGCTGCTGCAGTGCGCAAACGGAGACTGACTTCCAGTGAGCTCTGGTGCCTTGCTGAAACATTTAGCATGTCTGCACTTTGGCGCAAAACACTGCAACCACCTAAAGACAGCATTGCAGTGTGAACAGAACAATGCCCTTGTGGTGACTGGTGTTAATCAAGTGCAGGAAAACGCCAGTCACCACACGGAGTGTGAACAGACCTTGGGTCTTTCTGCTTCAGCCAGTCAGTGACATTAGTGTGTCCCTCAGCTCTGAAAGGATACACTGGTGACACAGTGGTGGAGGGGGGAGCCACAGTAGGACTTGAAGAGATGCAGGCACCTGACACCACCAGAAGTGTTAACTGCTGAAGATTTTAGCAGTGCCTGTAAGTATGTAAGAGAGCAAAAATGCAATTCAACAGAGGCGCTGATGGTAAGTACTGGAACTGTATTCAGAGGGCCTGCTTTTTTTGTGTAGCTTTCTTTCATTCAATGTCTATTTATACCTCCCTTGTGGCCCTGAAACGTTGGTTTGATTGACTCGTGTTCAATAAAAATGAACAAGAATTCCGCATCCTGTGAGTGCTGGTGATTCCTTTCATCCTATTTATCCCTCCCTGACTCCCAGTAAACTGTAACGGCTGGAGTATATCTCACAGTCAGCGCTCAGAAATCACCTTTATGGGGAAGATATTTCTGAGCCACGCATGTAGCTGAAGCTCAAACATTTCTTCTATAAAGATATTGAACTGATTTGCTTTAAATTCATTTTAAAATAAAATCTTCGTAGGAGATTTGTAGGTATGAAGGTTATCTCTAACCATAAACATTCATTTCAAAAAGCTATTTAAACACTTCTTTTGGTTATTACACTTTTTTTTATTCCGTGGCCCTTTTCTCACCCAGCAAAACGTTTTCCTGGCACACTCACAAGCTAGCATGTAAAAAAACTTGTCTCACACTAAGGTTACAGAGAGTGTGGATACACGTCTTCTGCAGAAAATGTGAAAGTCGCACCGCCGCGCCAAGGCACCTCTTATACTGCGGTCCTAACTCTAAACTATCAGAGTCTCCATCTTGGAGCACATGGGGCAGTGCGGCTTTCACATTTTCTGCAGAAGATGTGTATCCAAACCTCTGTTTTTAACCTTAGTGTGAGACAAGTTTTTTTACATGCTGGCTTGTGAGTGTGCTGGGATAACTTTTTGCTGTTTTACTGTTTAAAGCCCTTCCATGTGCACCTTGCTGTAAAGCTGGTGACGTATTGATGAGTGCATTTGTCATCTGTTTTCCTTTTCTCACCCAAGCACCAGATGTTGCTGACTCCACAGAGACGTGGTAACATAGCTAGGCTTTCTTTTAGAGCAGGGGTAGCCAAACTTCAGCCCTGCAGCTGTTGTGGAACTACAAGTCCCATAAGGCATTGCAAGACTCGATAGCCAAAGGCGTGACTCCCCGAGGCAGATGAATGATGGGATTTTTAGCTTTAACACAGCTAGAGGGCCAACGTTTGGCTACCCCTGGGCTCCTGTCTGCCCACCAAAGAATTGCTTTTCCAGTTTGTTATTATTATAATTTACTTATATATTAACATCATATACTGTACAGCTGTACAGAAGGTACATAGACATACATTTTTAAGGATGCAGAACAGGAAGCAGGAGAAAGTATAAGGACCCAGTTCACGAGAGCTTATGACCTAATAAACTGTATCTGACTCTCATTATCATGGCAATCCTGCTGAGGCAGACATCAGAGTAATAGTAAGGTGAAGCAGAATCTGTACCATGCACTATTTACAAGGTGTATGCAGAAGCATGAGATAATGGGCAGACAAGAGGCAAGGGCACTGATTCATCAAACTGCAACTGCAAGAGGTGCTGAAATAACATACAACAATATTGTATGAAAAGCAACTTTAACATGCCGTAAGTGCACCGTAGGGTGGTTTAAGTGTTGTGTGCAGATTGATGAATCAGGGCTTGTGCAAAATGTGTTTTATGGTGCCCATGTGGGGCTCAACTTGGTCTCCTTTATGAAATGAAGGCATATCTAAACCCAAGAACAAACATGTAATATATTGCAGCTTGCAGGGAAGCAGTGTCCTTATCACTTCTTGTGAGCTTAAAAAAAAAGCACAGAACCTTATATTTCATATGGAAACTACAGGCCCAACAATTCACCATGTAATGGAGATGAACAAAGGCAGGCATGTTTGAAGTCCAACTTGGATGACAACCATGGCTCCCTTCATAGATAGAATGGAGAAATGAGTGTAGCCACAAAGGGACAGGAAGTGTGTTAATTGTAGTATCACCAGATGGAAATAAATGAGTAGAAAAGCCTGAAGAAGGATACTAATGCAGCCACTACATCTAAGGGCTGGTAAGATGCAATACATTACTTTTTTGGGGTTTATATACACTTTAATTCAAGGTCTATGCTGATGATATTGTTCTGATTCTATGGGCACTTTATATATTAGCATATACAATTATAGCGCTGAAAGCCCACAAAACAAGACATAGTACCTTCAGATTTGTGTGCACATTCAGACATAAAGGTCTGCTTACACACATTGCTCTATGCACACTGCCCGGCAATGCCTGGTTTACATAATACTGCATGCTTCAGTTTTACTGCAGTAGTACATCTGGAAAATACACCCACGGCGTGCATAAATACTTTTATGTGTATTTTCATGCACCTTTCCAGAACAATGAAAACCAAAAAATATGAAAAACCTCCTATTATGAACCTCTGACCTAACATTTTCTTGGAAATAGCAAAATACGAGACAAATAACGCACAGTTTAAGCGTACCTGCATATTTGGTGGTTAGACTTAAAATGTAGGTTGCCCCCAGACACCCCTTGCCAGTCTTATACTTACTTGACCCTGATCTAGTGAGATAATGCCCATTAAACTTTGTAAATTAACCCTTGCAGAGGGGCTACCCCCAAACTGCAAGGGTTAACTGCTTGCTTTGGTCTAGGGAGGAAAATAACAAAGTTATACTCACTCAATCTTCCAAGCTGGTCAACTATGAGAGCGCTCCTCCCAGGATCCCTCCATCTACACTGCAGCGATGGTAAGTCCCTCAGCATCCTCAAGTCCTATACACTGTGTATATAACGTGATGACTCAGGGATCTTAGACCGCTGCCACAGAAGGGAAGAGAGACTGGAAGGACCGAGCTAAGAGTTGTCTCTGAGGATTTGGGGAGCGTAACTTTTCTATTTTCCTCCCTAGATGAAAACGAGCAGGTAATCCTTACAGTGTGGGGCTAGCCCCACTTCAACGGTTAATACAAATTGTGCCCGCAGCGCATGTGCTGTGTATTCTCCATTCAATCACAACGTAGTTTGTCCGGCTTCAAGGAAGCGTGAATAGAAGACTGGCAAGTGGTCTGAGGATGCGCATCCTACAATATAACTGTAACTGTACCAAAGGTGCAGTTACAATTTAAAATGCCTTATTTTGCATTAAAATGCATGTAAGGGAGAGCACAGAAAATGTGTGTTAGTTTTAAACATTTAGGTGTAAATTAGTTTTCACTGTTTATTGACACTAAATAAATGAACTTGACTGTATTTGGCTATTATCCATTTTCCAGAACTGGCACTAGACACTGACCAATGGGGAGGGGGGTGGACAGTGGATCATTTATGGGTGGCACATTTACTATGGAAGAAAGAATAGGACATTTTCCAGGTCTCAATACCAAACGAATCTCCTTACTGCTCCCAGACTTTTCTTAGGATTTCATTATAAATAGATTGATGGCAGTATCAAAAGAGCTGAAGGAGCTGATTTTCTCATGCCAGACAGAGGGAACAAGCACATGGCTTTGCTCTTCCCTTGAATATCCTGCGCCATCAGGACTGGCATGGCAGTGATTCTACTGCTGTCAGCAATGATGTTTCTATTATCTACTCATTCTTATTTGGCTGCCTCTGTCAATGTATCCGTTGCATGCAAATAGTAAGCCAAGAGGAACTAGAAACCCCGCATTTCTAAGTGTGTGTTATCTTTCTGCTCTCCTAAAACATGAACAAATGTAAAAATAGATTAAGAAACTGCCCTAGCTTATACATGATATATGAAAATGCATGACAGCAATTCTATGTACGTAACAAACATGGTCACATGACAGCACCTTAAGATTGGCAACATAATTATCAAGTAAGTGACCCAACAATGAAACCACCATGCATTTTACACCACAGGATGTCTGTACAATCCGCACTGGGTCAGCAATGGTGAGAAGTGCAGGTATTTGGATAATATTTCCCTCAATGTCCCTTTAATAGTGCTCTGACTAACATGGAATCTTGTAAAACCAACAATGCAAAGTAGTCCAATAAGACTGCCTTCATAGTGCAGCTTTCACAATCTTACAACTGTGATTCCCTTTCCTCTAAACAGAGGTGTCTTCTGTATCTTCATCTCCTCCCAACTTATTGATGTTCCCTTTCAACTCGTTTCTGACGAACTGCAGAGATAAAGGGGGGTCATTACTAAGAAAGAATCAGCATCTGCACGTCATTGATAAAGAAAAACCGATACATGTCATACCAAAGAGAACAGATGGATAAGTATAGATCAATAGAACAGCAAAGTTAAAATAAAAGTGACACATACAATGGTTATTTTTCTATACACAACTGTTATATATAACGAATTAAACCTGAAAGATGTACTTTATGTAAATAGCTGATGCCATACACGTGCACAAACATGCAGATATATAAGAATGGCTATTGTTGACATGGCTTGATATTGTTTTGTCTTTATCCTTGCATTACAACTAGTTACTGTCCCAAAACGAGTGGACTCCTGATCTGTGTGCTTTTCCAGGAAAGTGATCTACTAATAGACTAGATAGCTAAAGACAATCTGTCATTTTGGCCAATTAGAGCAAAGTTGTAGGTTTTCTTGTAAGAAGAACCCCCTACCCGATGACACACATATTTGCTGCGGTTTCCTGCTGCGGTTTCCTGCCGCTCTTTGTAAATCCTCAGTAAATACCCCATCCTTCTGGTTACGGAATACCATGTGACCTCCTCCCAGGATGCAGTGCTTGGGCCTGAGCAGCCAATCGCCATGCCCAAATACTGTCACGTTATGGAGAAGAGGAAGAAGGTAACCCTGTATAAGCTGCAACAGCATGAGACTCGAAGCTTACACTGGGTTTGGACTCCGGACTCTAATAGAGGAATGTAGCAGTGCGAGAGCCCAGGAAAGGCAAATATCAGTGGGTAGGGGGGTTGTTTATACAAGAGAACCTGTCACTTTGCCCTGAAAGAACAAAGAGACAGAGTCTCTTTAAGAGTGCCAGGTTGACATTGGCAGCTCCTGTTATTCCTTCTTGGTGGCTACCCTTACATAAATCAAATGATTAAACTTAACATAATGATTTTATACTGCCTTCTAAGCATTGGTGGGATATTCACATTTGTGTTTGCATAGCATTTTATTGTTAAACATTGTGTGAGCTATTGTGTTTTTGGTAAAAATACATCATATGGGCTGCTTTGGTAGGTATTCTGCTAGCAGCAATAATGTTAGCAATGAGTCAAACAGTAATTCTTATTTAGCTGCCTCTGTCCTCTTCCACAAAATGTCTCTATTCTTAAAACGCTGAGCCCCCCGAATATATTTTGTGCTGTATCAAAGTCATCAATGTAGAAAATATATTAAAAACTAGCACTAGCTATGAAATATCAAAGATTAAAGGAGAACTATGGGGTTAGGGTTAGGGCTTAGGGTAATGGGAGGACACAAACTAGCGTCCTCCCGTCACCCTAAGCTCAGTATACCACGAGCTACGCGGTATACTGAGACGCCGCATCTGAAGCGGATCCCGACAATTATGTCTGGATCCGCCCAGCTGCGTGAGTGACAGCTGGCTCTGCCTATCTAGAGGCAGAGCCAGCTGTACCCGCCCCCTCCTTCCAGTCAGCGCTGGCGGATTGGAGTGGGGAGGGGGGAATCCAGCCCCTCCCCTGTCACGGCAGAGAGCTGTGACAGGATCGAGAGGTGAGCGAACGCCGGTATGTGTTCGCTCACTTCCCGATCTACTGAGCCGACCTGTGACAGTCTCATTGTCACAGGTTGGCTAGAACTATGAGCACTCGCTTCATAGTTCTCCTTTAAGATCTGTAGATTTCATGGAATTGTATTATTGTATAAGTCTAATAGATTCCACAAGAGGGAGCTCAAGGTCTGGGATGAAAGCACATATATAAGGAGGTATATACAACATATAAGGCATTGACAGTGTTCTGTCGATCAGACATGTGTGAATGGTTTGGCCTCAAGGAGAATTTTTTTAACCCATCAGTGCATAGATAAGCATGAATGTATATATACCCCTAGCCTCATCCTAACGAGAGCAACAACATCTGTTAGCCAGGAAAATCCAATCGTACTGAAAGACAGATGCAGCTACTGCATGGGTAATATACTGCTAAAAAACATGGTTGTGTTGCAGAGTTGAACACTGTGCACCTATGAACTCCTTTCAGCTTCCCTGAGACTTAGAAAGCTAAGAGCAATTCAGGGAAACCTGCCTTTAAAAAAAGTGTAGGCTGCCATTGGCCTCCTTCTGAAAATGCCTGCCATGGTGCCTCTCCAGATTCAATGGTTTCTAAGCCAATGGTCCAGAACAAGTATGCAGATCAGGAGTTCAGGAGTCACCCTGACTGTGCATGTGGTGTATTTATCATAGCTTTGTAATACAGAACACACTAAAGCCAGAAAGTCAACATAATTCCACAGGCACAGGTCAGCAAGGGCAGCATTCATATATCTATAGCTGGCAAGACTATCAAGTAATACCATAGCATTTAAAGCAGACCTTTACTCTAACCCACTGCAACCCTCACTCACTAAACTATTAAAAAAGGAATGTTTTGTTTGTTTACTAGCTCAGACGAGGCAGCCAGCTCCTGACGACTGAGGAGCATGAAGATGGCAGTGCAGGACGCTGGCTGTGTTACCTGAACATGGGATCATAGCGGGATTACATTGAATCCACTGGGCAGGTGAGTATAAGAATTGAGGACAACAGCACAAAAAGTAAGAGGGGTTAAAACAAAAATCAGAAGGGGGGAAGTGAAGTTCAATTGCCATTAAACGGATTTTGGAAAAGGTCACTGATACTTGGTAAATACTGACTAAAAGCCCTATCTGGTCTACACAGGCATAGTTACAGATTTCCCCCACTTTCTTTTGCTAAATAAAGGGACACCCTCATTCAGCATCTATCCTTAGCTATCAGATACACTGTTCTGTGTTTCTTCATTCAATACTTTAGACAAGGCTAATGAGAAGTGATGTATGAGATGCCAGTCCATCACTAAGAGTACAGTTTAAATGTGCTACACTTTCCCTCCAATTTCCTCTTCTAAATTGTGTGCTATCCTAATTCAACATCCACGCTAAGCTATCATTGTGCAATACTATTGTACACTATTCTACAGACAGCTGCTAAGGCCTGATGTATGAGATGCCAGTCCATCACTGAGAGCACAGAATGCTTTAAAGACCCATTACAATTTCTTCTGCTAAATGGTATGCCATCCGATTTCAGCACCCATGCTATGCTACCAGAATGTGATGTACTAATCTGTGCTGCTTCACTCAATTCTCTACACACAGCTGCTAAGGAGTGATGTACAGGATGGCAGTCATTGGGAGCACAGTCCAAATGATTTGCCCAGCTAGTAGGATTATGGAAGTGCCAGCTCTATTTTATACAAAAACGACATAGAAGGAAAAGTAATAGTTCTGTTACTTCACTAAAATTAGAACTGGAAGCTGCTAGTGAGGGAAAGTTCCTCTTTCCCTTTGACATAATCTAGAAATACATTTGGGATGACTCAGAAAGCTGGACTGAACACTTGGCTTGGAATAGAAGTGTACAAAGATGCGGCAAGCTATCACAGTATTTGCCATTATATTTATACCAACTTCTTAAATACTGCCTCATGCTTCCAATGGTATATCTTAGCCCCTTTCTTTATACAGTGTCATGTCTGCAGTCTGCTGACCCTCTTAACAAGCGCTCAAGTCCTGCCTTACTCTTGTAAGCTCTCACAAGCAGGGCCCTTCTAACCCTATTGTTCTGAAACTGTATTTTATTGTAAATTGTATTGTAACTGTACTCCACTATTTTGTAAAGCGCTGAGCAAATTGTTGGCGCTATATAAATCCTGTATAATAATAATAATAATAAAAGCCTATCTCTGGGGGGAGGAGGGGGGAACCTCCTCTTTCAGTGGGGCTACCCAAACTGCAAGGGTAATCTGCTCGTTTATGTCTAGGGGACCTGTGTAAAGGACTTTTACTTACCTGATCCCCGTTCCCACAGCCTCTTCCCCCTGCACTCGGCGTTTGGAGTCCCACTGAGGTAATCGCGTAAATGCAGGACCCATATCCCTGCATTATACATGAGGATGCAGAGAGGCAGTCCATAAGCAGGAGCAGTGGTGAAAGAGGTGAGCACACCGACTGCCGGGGGAAGATGATCAGGTAAGTAAAAGTCCTACATACACACAGTATATATAAAACAAGTCATACATTAAAACATGGATGCACAAACCCATAGCCAGTGCTCCTTAAAAATGACAGCTGGCCTCCTAAGTGTCGGTACTTGTACTTGTGTCAAGTACAGTACTTGGTATCTGTGCATCCCTAATAAAAAGGGTAGTTTAATTCTTCTGAAATATCAGCATTGGATGTACTAACTATTTTACACACAGTTAAGATTTATTACGTTTAGATGATCGTTTTTGTCTATCATAAAGTACATTTAAATAGATACCTGGGTTTTGTTCAAATTGTGAATAAGTTACTGAAATGCAAGTATAGTATGATAGTATGATAAATACATATACAGATATATTTGTTAGACTATATGGTAAACATGTGCAAAATGTGTTGTAGTCTACAAGAAGAGTAGAATGTCCTAGACCTGATGCCTGACTTCTGTTGATATTAGCAAGGCAGAAATTGATATCTAATGTTACCCACAGCTATACTGCTCAGTAGTCTGTCCTGGTAATAATATCACTTTAGAGACTCACCTATGTCATTATTCTTTGTAATGGCTGCTGCTGCTCTGGTCCTTGGACCTTGCTGTGTAAACTGATATCCAAATTTCAGAATTGCTGGGTTCCCTTCAAGCATCTCAGCAATTTCCATCTCCACGGCAGTCCCCAGCTGCTGTCTCTGTGCACAGAAAAACGCATGTGAGCTGTTGCAAACTCCTTTTTACATACCAACATGCTAAATAAATGATTACACATTTACCTGATTGGCAATTTTGATCTCTGATAGGATCTTATTCTCTTTCAGGGCTTCCACAAGAGCCAGGATTCCACTTCCCGTTATGAAGTTAGTTTCCACGTTAAGACTTCTCAATGCTTTGTTCACTTTCAGCATATCTGCAAAAGCCTTTCAAATGACAAGGCTATTAGGTCTTATTCAGGCAGATATAGATTTCTTTGCTTTTTTTATTCCAGCAATGGTCACAAAATCCATAAAAACTACAGCTACTACAGTAGGGATGATGTATTTAAAAAGAGGGAGAAATAAAAGGATAGTCAGAGCAACTGATAAGATTAACAGGGTTATTCACTAAAGGGTGAAGAGTTTGGAGAAGGCAGGAGAAGTGAAGCTAGTCATACACAGCTAGATATCACTTGATTCCCCCAATCCACACTAAACAGCATGGATGGACGAATCTTTCCTGTCGTTTATCATATTCAGACAGCTGTTTGCAGAGCTATAGTTCTGACTCAGCAGGGGCGTGTTGGACCTCTCCAAAGAGACCACTGTTTCCACACCGAGATCAAGGGCTGGATAGACTTAAATAGGATGTTTTTCCTGCAATATGGGTAAGTCCTATTCACGTTTAAGGAATGTTGGTGCACAGATGTGGGCAGCCTGGCACTAGATTTTAACTGGCCAAGCTGAAGACAGCACAGGAGGCCTCAGCTGAAATATAGACCTCTGTGGAGGGGGGTGGGGGGGAATAGTTTATAAAAGGTGTACATGTACTTCTCACAGTAAAGTCACATAATCACAACACCCTTAAAGCTCCTATAGGAAATTATCACCATGAATGCCAGAATCTACAGGTGAAAAAAAAAGCGCCTTGACTTCCAATCTAATATATTTAAGTGCAAAACCTTTTACTATAATATATATATATATTAGGGATGCACCGATATATCGGCCGCCGTAACATATCGGCCGAAAATGGCACTTTTGGCATAATGCCAAAAGAGCCCTGTTTCGGCCGATACATCGGGTCATCCCTGGTTTCTTTTCTCCCCACTGGGCGCTGTTCCAGCGGAGAGAAAAGAAAGTGACAGCCGCCGAGCGCTGCAGGAGTCAGGACGAGAGCACTGTGAGCTGCGGCATCTCTCCTCCCACACCGCTCAGCCGCCTATCACAGTCCGGCAGAGCGGTGTGTGGGCGGAGACATCGCTGTCACAGGAGGCTGGGCTTTCCTCTCTACACGGCTCGATCAGCCTCCTGTGACAGCTGTCAGAGAGAAAAGCAAGATACACACACTCAGCGATCAGTGATCGCTGAGTGTTTGTACATAATTGAGGATATGGTATGTTAACTATATCCTCAATTATGAATGAATGGGAGTGATCTACATCACCCCCATTCATTCATAATTGTAGTTATAGTAAACATGCCATGTACTCATGTTATCAATGAACAGGAACACTCATAGAGGATTCCTGTTCATTGATAACAGGGGACACAGAAAAAGAGATTGAGGACTCTGTGTTCTCAATCTCTTTTTCTATTTTAAAAGGGAAATATCAGGGGTCTGTTTAGACCCCTAATATTTCCCCAAAGCCCCTAAAAGTAAAGTAAAAAATAAAAATATTTAATAAAAAATGAATTAATAAATAAAAATAAATATAAAACAATTTAAAAGTTTATAAAATAAAAATATTTACAAAAATTGAAAAAATAAAAATAAAAAACATTTTCGGTATCGGTTTCGGTTTCGGCCTGACATTTTTTTTTATTTCGGTTTCGTTTCGGTTTTAAAAATTCCATTTCGGTGCACCTCTAATATATATATCTATAGATATATAGATATATATATATGATAATGCTGTGAGGATACAGTTAAATCATCAAAATAGTGTGTGTGAACTTTAACTAACATCTCGTATTTATTTGCTCCTTTTTGAAAAATACCTGTTGATTATACCAGACGTCTTATGAGCTATTTCCCTGTGCTCTCTGCCTGTGCTGCACTCTTATCAGTTAGCATTATTCCCAGCTATATATGTGGACTACCAAACATGCTCCCCCTTAAAGAGAGGGAGACAGAGGGGAATTTCCTATAGTCCATGTGACAAGGTTGCTCCTCCATGGATACAGTATGGTTGGTGATAGGTATCACCCTAGGACAGGAAGTGTATTACTGGCAGGATCACAGGTAAAAATAAAGGAAACAATAGAGAACTAATGCAGCCACCTTAGCTATGGGCTGTTTAGGAGCAATATATATAATACATTAATGTTCTTGGTTTCAGATATGCTTTAATATATGTAGTGACTTACTACAGCTACTGGATCGTTACTTCTTGATGCTGCAAGGCTGAAAGACTTCACATGGGTATTTGATTCCAAAGCTTTTGCAAATTCTTTAAGTGTTGGTATCGGAATGTTCTAAAGTGCATAACAAATATAGTTATTGGCAGACAACCGCATTTTACCTTCATATGAAGTTTTGTGGCTAACGTGGCCACAATCTGTGATAGTTTTGTAATTTGCAGGTAATATAACATTCAAGCATAGAAAGACATTTGTGACAGAGAGGTTGTGAGACAGAATCCATGTAAATCAGACCCATTGGTGGATATCTGGTAGCACAATACATACTTGCACAGTGTTTTCTGTACAGAAACATAAATAAAAGTGATAGTTTGTAAATCGTTCCCACCTCTGGACACTCAGACACAAAGGCTGGCACTGATCATCTTGTCTTGTTCAGCTGGCCTAATCCCCCCATCCATACTAAGCAGTGTAGATAAAGGAGCCCCCCCACAGGCTACTGTTATCTGACAGTGGTGGGTGTGCCGCTGTCTGGATACCTGAACAGTGATTGGCTGCAGTCATTGCGCGGCCGAGAATTTTCGAGCCAGCTCCTTCAACAAAGGTCAATTGAAAAATCGATTTTGGTCAAACAGAGGGGCACTGATTTCTAGAAATTTGACCAGTTTATGGCCAATTTTAGGTTTTGAAGAAGTAAACATGTATTCATTTGCATTTAAAAGGCAGTTTAGACACTGATGCATTTTCAACATATATAAAATTGGTAAAGACAACTGGAAGCTTGTACCAACAGATGTCATTGGACAGTGATCATCTGACAATTCATTATTTATTAAACACTTCTTTGTCAGTACAATCTTTCTCTGATAATGGCTGTGATAAATCAGAGAGGGGCAACTTTCTCCAGTCATTTAATACTTGGATCATATTCTGAAATATAAGAACACTTCCATCTTGCATCAGGAAGAACTAACTGCCTACCCGGTCAAGGAGGGTTTTAAATAAAACTCCAGCCCATTGCTTATCAAGGTTTTAGATATAGAATGCAGTCTTTCTGACCAAGTGACAGGTTAATCAGCTCATTTACAAATGAACCAAATGGTTAAATTGGACTTCTATGCTTTTGCCTGGCTGTTAGGAAAGAGTTACTAATACTTTTAGGCATAGCATATACATCATATATAGTAAGGTTCTTAACAGTTTGCACCTAACAACTAAACATGACAAAGGAATTGCCGAAGGTTTAAAGCTGAACTCCAGAATAAGCAAATATTGTCTTTAATACAAGAGGCATGTATATTATTACTTGAATCTTGGTGTGCTTTGTGAATTTTCTTTCAGATCTGTACAGTACCCCAGTGTGAAACTTTCCCTCTGTACAGGCGCTTCCTATAAGAAAGACTATCCACTGCTGCTCTTGTATCTGCCCCCTCCTGTATATTTTTCTACAGGCAGCCTATAGTGGGTGGGGCCTGCCCGATCCCTCCCACAGCTTGGCTCCCTGCACAGGTTATGTGCAGCACAATTATGTCACTGCTAATTTTACAAGGTTATATCTGGGTAAGCCAAGGCATTTGGTGCACACAGAGAGGATTTTTATCCTCTGTGACTTTTAGGGTATCGTTGTACTCGTTGTAACCTCATGTTTTATATGTCATTTAAAAAATTGGTATTTTGTTGTGTTTTGGGGCATTAAATTAAATTTTTCACTAAATGTTGGGGTTTAATAAGGAGTTGCGCTAATATTGCGCAACATAAAAATTTGCAACTACCACCATTTTATTCTATAGGGTCTTGGCATTCAGAAAATATATAATGTTGGGGGGTTTTAAGTCATTTTCAGGCCTAAAATGTGGAATATAACATGGGTGCAAAAAATGAAAAAAGGGCCTCAGTCATGAAGGGGTTAAATGATGCCTCTTGACCTGATCATCTCCTTCCTTTCTACTTGTATACAGCAATCCCGCCAGCGCTGGTTTATTTTTTTAAATGTTTTTCATATATCTACTACTGGCTAGCAGTAGATATATCCAAAAAAAAGATTATTTATTTGTACTTTACAGTTTCGGTGTCTGGAGTTGACCTTTAATAGCATACAATGGGTTTGCATGGGAATATAATAAGTAGTGTTCTCTAGACGTGTGCGATTCGTTTCAGAAAAATTTGTTTATCGGGACGAATTTGCGTTATTGGGAGATTCGGTTGTATCCGAATTTCCGAATAACAGAAATGACGAATGAAATTCGTTAGCTGTAGTCTGTACAAATTGTCGTTTGTGGACGAATTTTCATTGCAGCAAATTGACATAAAAAAGTTTTTTAAATGTCCTAGCTGCAACTAAACGAACGAAACAAACATTCGTACAGACTACCGCTAACGAATTTAGTCCGAATCTGAATCCCGAAACAAATTGACTTTCGGACCCGAATCCCGAAAAACAAAATAACGCAAAATCCGAATCAAAATGTTTTGCCGGTGCACGTGTCTAGTATTCTCCACCTACCTGTAAATATAGACAAAATGTTCAAATGATTCCACTTTGCTGAGACTTACCTTTATGTTATTCAGATTAACATCAAGAAGGAAAGGATCGTTGGCTTTTATCCTCTGCAAACTCTCTTCTACATTGGTTGGGTTTGGGGGGTCATCAAATGCCGGTTTCACCTTTTCAGCTTTGACAACGTCTGAAATTGATTATAATAAGATCAGGTGAATATGCCTATGACTGGTACTATTGCTGCACTGATACAACAAACTCAGCTACTCAGAAGAAGCAGAAAGTTGCATAAATAAATATCAAGGATAAGTAATTACCAGATTTACATGACAGAGAAAACTGATGATTCCTATTTAAGTATAACATGTATTACTGTCCTGAACACAAAGGGGTCTATTTATCAATGGATTTACCCATGTTTCACGTGCCTTTCATTCAGCCATCTAAATGAATCTCATGTGAAAATGGGCGAATCTCGGGTAAAAGCTGTGTGAATCTTTGGAAAAACCTTGATAAATAGACCCCAAAGACAGTCAAGGAATAACGAATATATATAAAAATTGAAAATAGCCATTTGCAGACAGTATATCCCTTCTTAAAGAAAAACTCCAGGATTTTTTAAAATCAACCCTTGAAGTGGGGCTACCCCAGCACTACAAGCATTAGGTGCTCGTTTTGTCTAGGGGACGAAAATAAATAAGAGATATTCACCGATCCTCAGTCTTGCCTGGCTGCTAGAGCAGTTCCTGCAGTCTCTTCTGCCCTGGCCTCCAGCGGTCTAAGGACCTGTGACTTCAATTGGCCTAATGCAGACCATTAGGGCTCCAACGGTCTAAGGACCTGTGACATCAATAGGCCTAATGCAGACCATTAGGGCTCCAACGGTCTCAGGACCTGTGACGTCAGTAGGCCTAATGCAGACCATTAGACATGAGGACACCGAGGGGCATACCACAGCCGAGGCGGGGAGGTGAGTGGTCAATGCCACAAGACCAAGGAACAGGTGAGTATTTCCTCTTTATTTTTGCCACTAGACCAAGGCGAGTGGTTATCCCTGGCATTGTGGAGGTATCCCCACTGCAAGGGTTAATTTCAAAAAATCCTGGTTCTTCTTTAGGCACAAGAAGTGTTCTGCTCCTTCCTTTCTATTATTGTGGATGTATATAACCAATTGGTCGATGACTGCACCTGGTCATGAGTGACCGTGGCTTAGTGCTGGTCTTTGGTAATACACAGTGCAACAGTGATCAGATCACCATGTTGCAAATCATTCAATTTTCTGCACAGTTACATGAAATTATATAATAAACAGATTTACTTCTAAGGTCCACTCCATCTTGTCCATCTTCATTATCCTCTGTTCTGCTTGAAAAATGCTGCACTCCAAGCACCGCTACAAAACAATAAGATAAGGGTTAGGAATACAGGTTCATACAAGGAAATTACCTTCACATAGTTAATAATACAACACGCTTTGTCTACTGAGATTGCTTGGCAAATATCACACAGATAATTCAAATATGTTCATTCATTTCTTGTTATTTTCTAGAATAAAGCATGTTTAGTGTTATCTGCCAGTTAAAGTGTATCTAAACCCAAAACACATATTCTATTAATAAGCAGCTCACCAGGAGCCCAGGCGTTCCAATTTTGGAATAATTTCATAATATCAGACCAAATAAACCTGGGAGCATATCACCTCATTCATGGATTATTTATTTAATCCTCGCAGATCCAAAACTGCACAATACTGTATTTAGGGTAAAGTTATTCCTTTAACAAGTGCACATGATGAATTCCCAACTTTCCTGAAACACTGGGCAGTTCTGAATCTGTGCTAATAGAATAAATGGACCCCTAGAATGAATGTGATGGAGTCCTAAGTTTATTATTAATCAGAATAAGTGATACTTTAAAAAAAAGTAGTACTGATCACATTATATATTTTCATTTGTTAAATATATATTTAGATCCAGCAACATGTCTGCTCAATATTCATTAACATAATATTTTTTATTGTGTAATCCCTGCATGACTTTTAGGCCCCATTTAGTCTATCGCATTCCGTGAATGCGCGTTGCGGTGACGTGCGTTTGCGGATGTTTTTCCCATGTTTGCAGCGCGTCCTCATCAATTTCAATAGATGCCTGCACCAATGACAAATGCCAGAAAGTAGCTCATGTAGAAAATACTGCTACATGCGCCCCACTTTTTTCCCATGCACTTGCCTGGCTGCATTTGGGGTGCCATTAATTCATAATGTCACCACAAGCGCGTTGCAAGTTTTTTTTAACGTGCCCGTGAGTGAGTATCAAAGTGCGTGTTTTTCCCCCGCATTTGTTGCGCATGCGCAGAACGTGATGGTGTGAACGAGGATTTAGGCCTTATTCACGTGTGTCGAAAACTAACAAATGATGAACACCCATTAACGCGCCTTTAAGTTTTAGATGTGTTTTTGGTCTGGCGTGTTAATAAACATTTGCCACACGCCCTCTCTGTGTTGGTTTTCAATATTTTGGAAAAGACCAGTGATGTAGAGCAACTGGGCGGCACTGGTACCAGCTGCACAGGCATTGGTTATGGATGGTACTGGTACTGGATGGCACTGGTACAGTACAAAACAGAAAGGAAGTGGTTACCAGAACTCATCTATCCTCTCCTCTATCATTTCCCAGTGCTGTCTAAGATATTAGGATCCTCCACTGCCTTTCCCCTAGAGCCTTGTAAACTCTTTAAAAATGCTTCTCGATCCTGCCGTAACCCCTTTAGGGACGGTTAAGACGTGTTACCATTTACATGAATGGGGGTGGCTGCAAAGAGGTGAAAAGTCCTGACTGCAACATGCTGTATTATTTTTGATGCAACAGAACATCATGTGACACAGCCACACGTGTGGTCTGCCTTGTCCGCTGACCATTGAAAATCTCTCTGCATTGGTAGGTGGTTGCATGGGGCCTTAGTCACTAATTAGGGCAGTTTGTTCTGCCTATTAGGTTAGGTTCACACCAGATGCAGCGCGTTCTGGCCCGATTCTAGCCAAAATGCACTGCATCGCATTGCAGCCGGATCACTTTTTTGTGGGGCAGGAGGGGGCGTGGCAGGTCACTGAAGTGAATGGCACCGTAGCCAGCCCCTCTGGCCGCAATGTGATCAGCCACACGGGATCGCAAGGCACTTTATGCCTGCTTGTTTTGCCCCATGAAAAAACAATCAGAATTTACCTTTCATTTTCTACCCTGGCAAAACGAAAGTGAGAATGTGATTGGTTGCTTGTAAGCAACACACACAGCTCTGATTGTAGATCAGTTGATATATGTGATTGTAGATATGTTGATAAATGAGCCTCAGAGTTGCTACTTACTCGCGATGTCGCCGAGCTCAGTGTCTGTGGCACTGGCGAGAGCTTCTTCCAGTTCTGGCTCCAAGGTCACCCTTTCTTCTGTCTGGCATTCCATTGGCATATGCTTGGGAACAAACACCTTACCTGTGTCAAAACATAACAAGAGGGAGAGCCAGGTTTACAGCAGTAACGTATTACTGTAATTAAGAAATAGATAATCCGCGCTTCTGGAAAGGAGACTATTCTCGTATTACTGTAATTATAGGAGGCAATTCTATTTCTAAAAGAACATATTATAGACCACGTCAATGTTCAAATACAGTATATCCTCTATGAACTGTACATACATATTAATAATGTCCAGCTGCAGTTATTATTGTACACATAGTACAATACCAAATGGACTAGCTGGACATTATCAAGGTCTTTGAGGATATTCAAACAAATGAATTGCTTTAGTGAAAAGAATGTGTTTTGCAAAGATAGGAGGAATACACACCATGAATTTCCCATAATTCATTTTTATTATTATTACAGCTGGAACAAACTTATTTACAGTATATACGGTAGAACAATATCACTGGCTTCTCAAGGTCTAGAAAATGTGAATATATACAGACTAGGGCTCTCCTGATAGAAATATGGAAACTGCTGTTGATGACAGTACCAACTCCCAAGCCTTAGCCTTACTTGTGTTTTCCTACTTAGGGGGTCTGTTTATTATCTGATATTATTATCTTTCTGAACATTTGTTTAGCGTTATAAGACACTAAAATTAATGTTCTTAGATCTATTTACATTCAGGTCGACCATCTGTAATGTAATACTGTATTGTGGCTACAAGATGGAGCTGTAGAGCATAGAAAATAAGTATTTAAAAGGGTAACTTCATTTTTCATTTGGGAAAATGGAATTACCCCCCACCCCCTCCCCCGCCCCCCTATACTTACCTTTTGGCGTACGGTCCTTCCCTTCCGCTGGTATGGGTGTACTATCCGTACCCCGTACTAATCCATAGCGCAGCCCTGCACTATGGATTTTGTATTTGGCTTACAAATTGCAAGCACTAATTGGTCAACGCAGCCACGTGACTTTACTAACCAATGCAAGCAAGACTAAGCAAGAAGCGCTTCTCATTGGTCAGTGCGCTGACAAATGAGTGCCCTCAATTTTTGAGCAAAATTCAAAATCCATAACAAAGGGCTGCGCTATGGATCAGAACGGGGTACGGATAGTACACCTGAACTGGCGGAGGTGAAGGACCGCTCTTTCCGAAAGGTAAGTATAGCGGGTGAGATGGGTATGGGGGCCAGGTTTGAGCGGGTAATTCTATTTTCCCAAATTCACTTGGGAAAGTGAACTTAGCCTTTTTAAAGCAATTGTCTCATGTATATCTGTAAGCCTTTGGTACATCATAGCGTAAAGCAAAAATGTGTGAAAAGAGATAAATAATTGCTTATTCTACAAAGATATTCTAAAATGGCTTGGTCAAATGTGTTGGTACATCTAGAATAGATTATACATTGTATCATATTGATAGTGATATTTCATAACTAGCTGTTTTCTGTAATTAGTATCACGTCTTCAATCTTCTAATCAGTCAGCTTATTTAATTGGAGAAAATTGGTCACTCTGCTGTATGATATTATCATGTGCACAACATTGGACATATCCAAAGAAAGGATAGAAGAGAGTTGTCTCAGGAAGAAAATAATTGACCAGTAAGTCAAAGGTAAAGGCTATGAAACCATCATCAAGTAGCTTGACTTGGACTTTCTGTGACTACAGTTGCAAATATTGTTAAGAAGTTTAAGGTCAACTGGAGTGCTCAACTTCCCTGGATGAGGCTACAAGAGGTAAATCGACCCGCGATTGAACAGAAGAATAGTGCAAATGGTAGACAAAGAGCAAAGGAAAATTTCCAAAGAGATACAAGCTGAACTCAATAGTCAAGGTACATCAGTGTCTGACTATTGCTTATGACCAACAGTGGGCTCAAAGGAAGAAGGAAGAAGAACCCAGGAGCAATCCACTGCTGAAATGAAAAACATAGAAAAGCAGAATGAAATTTGCTAAAATGCATATTGACAAGGCTTAAATGCATCGGGGAGAATGTTCTATTGAGAGATGAAACAAAACTGGGGCTTTTGGCAAGTCACATGAGCTCTAAAATGAATACCGTTCCTACTGTAAAATATAGAGGAGGCTCAGTTATGTTTTGGTGTTGGTGTGCTGCTCTGCCACATCTGTGCAGGGCAAAATTAAATCTCAAGCCTATCAAGGAATTTTGAAGTGAAACATTGTGCTATACTCGGTCGGCAGTCATGGGTTCTCTAAAGGGATGATGACTCAAAACATACAGCTAAAAGCATCAAAGAATGGCTAAGAACATAACATTGAACTATTCTGAAGTGGCTTTCTATGTGCCCTGATCTGAATCCTATCGAATATCCAAGATAATAGCTGAAACATGCAGTCTGGAGAGGGCACCCTATAAACCTGAGACAGCTGGAGCAGCTTAAGAACAGTGGCCCAAACTACCTGTCGGCAGATGCAAGTCTCAATGAGAGCTACAGAAACACTTTGTTTGGAGTGATTACCTCTAAAGGCATGCAACTAAATATTAAGATAAGGGCCACATCATTTTTGTCCATGCCATTTTCATTGGTTTAATTTTTTTATATATTCGGTTCAATTAAAAGTCAATGCGGTTTAGCATTGTCCTGTTGAAATATGCAAGGCCTTCCCTGAAAAAGACGTCTAGATGGGAGCATATGCTGCTCTAAAACCTGGATATATCTTTCAGCATTGATGGTGCCTTTCCAGGTATGCAAGCTTCCCATTCCTTACACACTAATGCACCCCATACCATCTTTTGAACTGAGTGCTGATAACAAGCCGGAAGGTCCCTCTCCTCTTTAGTCTGAGGACGCAGCAACCATGGTTGCCAAAAAGAATATCAAATTTCAATTCTTTTGACCGCAGAACAGTTTTCCACTTTGCTACAGACCATTTTAAATGAGCTTTGGCCCAGAGAAGACAGCAGCGTTTCTGGATCATGTTCAGATAAGTCTTCTTCTTTGCATGCTAGAGCTTTAACTTGCATTTTTGGATGGCAGGGCGAGCTGTGTCCACAGACAGTGATTTTTGGAAGTATTCCTGAGCCCATGCAGTGATGTCCATCACAGAATCATGCCTGTATTTAATGCAGTGCTGTCTGAGGGTCCGAAGATCATGGGCATCCAATATTGCCTTTCAGCCTTGTCCCTTGTGCACAGAGATTTCTCCAGATTCTCCAAATCTTTTGATGATATTATGTAATGTGGATAGTGATATATTTAAAGTCTGTGCAATTTTACATTAAGGGAACATTATTCTGAAATTGCTAGATAATTTTTAGACACAGCTTTTCACAGTTTGATGAACCTCTGCCCAATTCTGAGACACTACGACTCTCTAAGATGCTCTTTTCATACCTAATCGTGTTACTGATCTGTTGTCAATTAACCTAATTAGTTGCACAATGTTCTTCCAGCTCTTCCTTGTTAGTACCACTTACTTTGCCAGCTTTTTGTTACTCTGTCCTAACTTTTTTGAGACATGTTGCAGCCATCCATTTCAAAATTACCTTATTTTGTTTCTTCAAATTGTCCATTTTCTCAGTTTAAACATTGGATATGTTTTCTATTTTCTATTGTAAATAAAATCTGGGTTTATGAGATTTGCAAATCATTGCATTCTGTTTTTTATTTAGATTTTACACAGCGTCCCAACTTTTTTGGAATTTGTGTTGCAGCAATGGCAGAGGCCCATACAGAGTTATTTCAGCACTGACTGCTGAACCAGCAAAGAATTTTCAAGTTAACTGGCAGCCTTTTCATCTGTCCTTGCTATGCCAAGGTCATCTCACTCACCGGTTCTTGTGAGAATGTGTGGAATTTGATTTTATCGGACAAAAGACATAAAAGATACCTTTAGCTGTATAAGCAGCATACAGCTTAATTAAACAAAAATGGTAGATGAATGGGACAGCGCTGTATACAAGAATACTCCCAACCTATAAATATAGTCTAATTTCACTTTAATAGGATTATTAACGTGTTTTTACATAATGAAGTATATCACTACAATGAAAAAAGGAAAGACTGGCCCTAATCTAGTTTACATAGAGAATTATATAACACGTACAAGTATGGCATAGTAAAAACAAAGGATCAAATTAATAAAATAAAATGTTTTTACTATGGGCGGTGGCTGAAACACACCCTTCATGTTAGAGCTGGGAGTGGACTGAAATAAAATAATACTGGCAAGAGCCAAAACTAGAATGAACAGAGGAGATGCAAAGTGTACAGTGAGCCTGGAACTGTTGTCACTCCTGGGCTGAAGTCAGCTAACTTCTCAAGCTCACATATAAAGCAAAACATCCATTATTATATTGGAACACAAATGGCCACAAAGACATCTCTAGAAAATAATATATTTAAAGAGGAACTTTACCAAATGACAACAAAGACATCTTTAGAAATGTTTAATAATGACAATCTACAAACACATACTTCTAGATAATTGCCGGCTTTTTATTCTTTGTATACCTTATTTATCTTTTCCCAACCATTCTTCTCACAGTGGCCATTTTTACTAAGGGCAGATTAATATATCTCCTTTTACTTCCCGGAGCTCAGGCACATGTGACTAGGGTATGTACATAATCTTAGAGGAGGAAAATGCCTTTCCCTGAGATCTTGCGAGATTACAGATGAGATTCCCCAACAATGCTCTGCTAGCCTCCACAGGATGCAACGCTTGGGCACATTACATCACTAATGCACAAGAGGACCAGAAAGTGTAAAAACAATAACTAAGGAAAAGCAAAATATGTTTGTTTAACTAATGAATGTGAGATGATTTCATATTAGCATTCGGAGCTGGGGGTTTTTTTTCCTCAAAGGGGTAAAGGTCCACTTTAAGTGCATGTAAAGCCAGTTTTTACTGGTTAAGTCCTCGGTCATTTGTTGTGATTTTCTTCCTGTTCCAGAGACACAACAGGAAGGTGCTCGCTTGGCACCACCACCATAAAGGAGTTCTCTGATTGGATGAGGTGAAGATAGTGGCATCATGTGCCCCTCCTCTCCATCTTGTCC